CCCCCCCGCCCCCCGGCCAAACAAAACATTTGGCACCGACACTCATAAAAAAGAAAAGACACATGTGACTGCAGCACCAACGGATCTGCAAAACCACGATTGATTGAAAACAAGTCACAGCTCATCCATTGCATCTTTTTCCATGCGCACTTTGATGGCATGAATTTTCTTGCTTCATTGCCCGATCAACCATTCGTCGGCATCTTCCCCCTTCTTCTTCTCGTCGGATAGCAGCTTGCTGATTTTCAAATAACTATCCGTCAGGTCCGCCGACGCTTGGAGTTTCAGGGACAAGCTCTCAGCCTCTTCCGCCTCCAGGCGGGCAGAGGAGGCCTTGGGGACAAGGTCCTGCATGGCAGGAGTGATCTTGGCCATGGCATCTGTCATGGCCTTGTCGGTCACCGCCTGAGCATCCGCTTTCTTTTTCGCCTGGTTGAGCTTTTTTGTTTGCTGGCGTACATCTGTGCGGAGCTCTTGGCCCTTGCGCTTGGCGCTTGCGCACCGCAAGGCGTCGGGGGTTTCCCCCCGACCTCCCTCTGTTCCACCGCCATCATCCCCGAGGCCATCATCCTCCCTCTCGGTTCCCTCAGGCAGCATGGCGTCGACGACGGCCAAGAGCTCCGGGTACTTCTCGACGGCGATCCCCATTACAAAGATGTCTCGGTCATCTATGTCGTTCAGCACACGTCGAGGGGAGGGGGAGGTGGGTTGTTTCTTTTGCTCAGCCGACTTCATTTTGCATGGTGCCATGTTCACGGGGTTTTAACGGGCGTGCGACAGCAAGTAATCGACCAATTCGTCTCCGTGCAACAGGGAGCGGGGCGCGAAAAAAGCAAGCAGTGTGGCGAATTGTAGCATTTATCTATCCTTATTGTTTATCGAAGCCGACAAAAGGGTCCCACGTGCGGCTATCAGAAGAGAGTAGGAAACATACAACGTGGGCACCGAAGACATATCACATTGAAAACCATGCGAACCTACGTGCGAGTATCACGTTCATCGATTGTGAAAATATCACGTTCATCGATTGTGAAACACCCACACGTATGAAAGCAATGAAATAGCGGCAGATACTACTCCAGGAGAGGGACAAGGGTGTGTCTGCTGACAACGCCTGTAAATGCCCCCTGTTCCGTACAACTAGTCTAGTGCATTCACTCACTTTTGAAGAAGTTCTCCCAAGGTGCGTTGTTTCCTGATTCGCTCTTGAAGTGGCCGTGCTGGGGGTTCCACTTTGCCTTGATATCCCTCCACATGGTGTATAGCTTCTGCTCGGTAGCATCCGGCTGGGAAATGATGTTGGGGTCACATGATTCGACAAACGCGACGTCGCTGATCCTGGAGACCTGCACCGAACGTGGTGATGATAGAAGATGTTTGGTGAGGAAACATTTCAAAATGAATTTTGATGACGCGTGATTGACACACAAGCGTGGTATCCGGGAAGCAAGACAAACAACGGAATACTTCGTGGAATCACACGAGCGTACAAAATATATGAAAAGCCTCTGTGTGATGTTGTTGCGTAACCTGTCTTGTGGGGCGAAGCTACGGTATAAATGCATGGCAACAAGTTACGCCCAGAAACAAAACACACACGCTGGCACGCCAACAGGAGCAACACCAAAACAAGCCGGCCAGCGCAACCCTACACAATGAAGTTGCTTTGTGCAGAAAACCATATCTATTGCCGCCGGAAAATGTACGTAACGCACTCACCGTATGACTAGGGTCCTTATAGCGTGCGGTGATGATTTTCCACACATTCCTGTTTGCACCAGTCTCTCCACCGTCGAGCTCTTGACGGCTCATGGATACGCGACTCTCCATCACAAGCGGACGAACATCATCTTCCATCATAATGCCGAGGACTCGCATGAGGCAATGCCTCGTTTTACGTCCGACGTTTACAATCTCGCAAGAGTCGACGTCCTCGCCCCCCGACCCAACACCACCATCCGTGGCACCTCCGCCTCCGTCGCCAGCAGTCTCCCTCCCTGGCGACAAGGACGGCGACCGAGAGGACCCGCCTGAAGACGGTTACGCACGAACACTACCGCCCGACCCCACTGACGTTCCGTTGCCTGAAGACGGTGACGCACGAACACCACCGCCCGGCCCCACTGACATTCCCTTGGCGGCGAGGGCCGCCGATATGTCCCTCGAACGATAGTTTTTTTTGGAGCAGTGGTATACTTCCGGCACTGCGGCGCCCCCCCCGACCATGCTCGCGGTACGAAACGCCATCAAGCACCCCATCGGGATATCCACTGACTGCGTGCTCCTCACGGGTGCCTTCTGTTTGGAAGCGGTTGCTGCGACGCAACGTCATAGCGCGACACCACAGCAGAGGAGGGCAGGGTATGAAAACAGTGTAATCATGAAAGGTTTTGTTGCGAGCGTAGACATGACGATGAAAGTCGTGAAGCATGTGCAGCTTTAATTTTCGTTTGGTCGGCCCTTGTACGCGGTTTCATCGCAGTTTCTCGGAAGTACTGCTGTATCGCACCTGAAATACCATATTTTTCGATAAGCCAGCAACAAAGCATAAGGTACTACATAAATGCGATGTACACGCACGAAAACTCATCCGACAGCAGCTACGCGTACCCGCACAACTCAACGCATGTTGTACAGCAGTTTAAATTTTAAAAACGAATGCCCATGACCGTTATTTTTCTATTCTGCGAACACACCTTTCAACAGCAGAGGTAGGTCGGCGCGATACGGTTCGCCATCCGGACACCTCTTCTCCTCGGCATCTTTCTCCTGAAGCAGTTTCTCTATGGCACCCCTATCCCTGCTGTTGGACATCCTCGGAATCCCGCGGAGGGAGCACGTCTTTTGCAGTAGGGCCGTCGACCATCTCGAGTACGGTGCGTTCATGGCTCGGTCGATGCTTGCTTCGAGAGGATGCTTCTTCGCTGCTGCACCTGCTACTGCTCCTGCTGCTGCCCCTGCTGCTGCTCCTGCCGCCAGAGCAACGGTGCTCTCCGACGAAGAGGAGTTGCTGCCCTCCGTCGCAGCTTCAGCTCCACCTTCAATATTGATGACCTCGTCGTCCTCCTCACTACTATCGGAAGGCCTACTCGCCCCATTCAGCAGTACCCTCGTTGCTGCTGTGTGTGGGAATGAGGATGATTCCGCAGCAGAGAGCTCATCTTCTTCGTTCTCGGACAAGTACCTGTTGTCGTTCTCCACGCCCTCTTGAACAGATCGCCCCACTGCGCTTCGAGAAGCACTTCCTCTCACGGAGAGAGAGGAAGACTGGTCTATCCTAGACGCCTGCCGACGACCTTGCAGGGCTGAGCGAGCGGCGGTACTCCCGGCGACGACCTCGCGAGACATGCCTGGCGGAGGGCTGATGCCCACAGCAGGAGGCATTTGAGGCCGTCCTAACCCATAACCGCTGGGTTAGGATAATCTGGGATCTTCCGGGCGAACACGGGACTGTCCGCTCCAGGGCCGGAGGAAACCCCGTCCTCGAAAACACCCTTGCGCTCGTCGTGAAACGAGCTGTGCCTAGCCTCCTGCCGCTGTTGCTAAACACGGCAGCGAGGGTATCGGCGTTGACGGTAGCATCCTCTGCTTCGAGAATGGCCACTTCGTGACTCGTTCCAAAGCTGCTGTTCCGCTGACTGCGACTGCTGCGTGTCCCAGCGAAGGCGCTCTTCGTGCTGCTGTATTTCGCAACGTAGCCGGTCTTGGGTGTGTCGTGTGTAGAGGCGCTGCCACTCTCCCGCTTGCTGGCTGTCGAAATCTGCTTCGGTAGATCCAAGTACGAGTAGGCCGCGCCAGCCATCGTACATATGCAGACGCTACACGACCCTCACCGGCTGTCCGCTGAACGTGCGGCAACCCGATGTGCCACTTGCGATGTGTACGCGGGAGATCCGACGTGCGTGATACGCGTAGTCGGTATGCCGCAGGACGAGCGCCGGGGCTGTTTTTCCGGGACAGGAATGTACCTTCGGGGCTCTGGAGCCCTGAAGCTAAAATGTTTGGAAAGTCAAGCTTAATGTGGTTCACCTACCCCGCTGATTTACAACAGAGGTGCAGCTCAATTTCGGAATTTGCGAGAGTTCAAGGAAAAGTTTTGAATTGTATGTGACTTAATTGCGTTTTTCTCGGTTTGGCCAGCAATAGAATCCAGAGTTCGGTCATGGGTAACTCTCTTGTGCGCGAAACATGCATGCTAAACCGTAACCAGCCGTTCGGCGCCCGGTCCCTGCCATAATCGTCCAAAATCCGCCCTTGCTATGCCGATATTCGCTGTTGCACGTGATTTCGTCGGGCTGGACGACAAGGACAACGAAATCCTTCCAGCACGTGCCAAGGTCAACATCAAGCGAGAACGCGCAGCAGCAGTAGGCACGCCGCCCCTGCTCACCACGTTGCAAGGATGGCGACGCCGGCAAACCCACCCCCAGCCCTGTCGTCACGGGGACTGCCAGCAACAACAACGTCACCGACCAACCCTGGCGCCACCGCTACGGATGAAGGATGGCACGGAAAGGTCGAAGTAGATTCAGGTTCTCCTGCTGTTGCAACCGCTACAGCCACAGCGGAAGCATCGCGAGGTTCCCCAACAGCCCTGGCGGCGGCATGGCCAACCGCTTCTTGCTCGGAGGGATCTGTGGGCACTTGCTTGGAGAGGTCCGTGGATTTGCGACCCCCTTCAAAACGAGCCAAAGAAGAGGGCAGAGCGAATGCCCCCACTACCACCGGACTGGAATGCAAGTCCGCCATCTCGGCCACGGGGCCAGGAGCAGAGGCTACTGCCCCAGCTGGAAGCGGACAACGCTCGTGTGGTGATGAGTCGAAGGATTCTGCTGCATTTGGAACGATGAAACCCAGCGGCTGCGCCGCGAGTAGTAATCCAGCCGGTTCTGTTGTTTCCAGGGGGGGGGGCACAAGTGATGGAGCGGGAGTGCTAGAATCGCCCCGTTCTCTGTCGGCTTGGCTTAAAGAGGTGGGTGGATCGGGAAGATAGGAAACGTCTCTCATGCTGTTGTTGTTTTTCCTATCGTTAGTGATGCTGTTGCTTTTGTGTTTTATGAGGCGGTGAATCCTACCGCTCGCGCCTCTTGAGTGACTTCGTTTAGGCAGCTCAATGCGGCACCCTACTCCGACAGCATCCCCACAACCCGTGAATGTGCTGTGTTTGTGCTCTCCACCTACAGGGCCCCTTTGTGCTGTCCATGTCACCTGGATTTTTTGGCTTTTACGCCCACATCGGAGCTCTGATTGCCCTGGACAATGAAGGCCTTCTTAACGAGGTTAGTTCCTGCTACTTTTGTGGTAGTCGTGTTGCCCTTCGTCATGGCTCGGATCGGTGTTCGGTTAGTGGTATTGTAAGAGATATTTTTCCTGTTGTGGTAGTTACCGACAGGTCCCCACTTGTGTCGACAGCATTCGAAAGTTCTAGTCAAGGCGACCTGACCGTGCTCCTTGCGTTCCCCCGATCGGTGAAGCTACTGGTGCTGCTGCGTATGTTTGCTGCCCGTACTCCACACTTGTCCATCTATAATATCGTAGCATCATCAGCTGCGCCCCAGCTAAAGTACCACCCATTTTCGGCGCAAAGCTGTATTTGCTCAATGTGCGCTTTGCAATGCGTACCGCGTATTGCTGCAGTGCCTGCCGTGTCTATTCGGCTAGTTCTGGCTTTGGTGGAACCCCTGCCCCAGTCTGCATGTCCCGTTGCACCCAGCACGGAATATTCTTTGTATGATGGGGTGTGAAGGCCACAGGGAAGTCCGGGATCGCAGTTTGTCGTACACAACACCGAGGATCACAGCTGCGACATCGCGGTCATCGACCGCGAAACCCGTCGTATCCCTTCACAGCCAACAATAGCACATGTTAGAATGATCCGCAGGGTGATCGAGCGCTTGGTGCGTCTCTCTTGTTTCTTAATACGTAAGGTGAGCTTCGCCACAGGAGCGAGCGCGGGTGGCCTGGTGGCCGGACTCTTCGCGGCTGGGCTATCACCTACCGACATGGGTGACACCGTCGTGAAGTTTCGGCGGTCTGACTTTTGGGACCCCGTGGGTTTTGGGGGACTCCTGCGCGGGAAGAAGTTCGAGGTAAGCGTAGAAACGATGATTGAGTGAAAAACAAACTGTGTTAGAGCTGTGGTCTCCGCTTTTTTGTTCCAAGGTAATTTTGGTTGTAGTTTTGCTGTCTGCTGTCATGGTCTCAACGGTATTTCCCTTCATGGGTTCGATCTCCGCTCTCCTTGAGCATTACTCGTGACTATCGTTCCGGCCCCGCTGTTTTCCTCGGATGAGCGTACACCGGTTTACGTATGTGGTGTTCGTGTCCAGTGTTACCGCCTGCTTGCTCCTCCCCGTCGCCCGTCCCCGAAACACTCTGTGACGGGCGATCTGGGTGTTTTCAGATTGGGCCAGCGGCTAACTTGGCGGCCTGAAACAGAGTAGAACCCCAAACACCAGCACACTAACGTATGCAGAAACAGCCACGCTAGCAAGGAATGAGAGTACAGGAGCAGTCAACCGGATGTTGGAATCAATTGTGTGCGCGATACCACCGGAACCTGACCCCGCATACGGGCAACGTCTTCATGGCGACATGTCGTTTTTTTCAAGTAATCTCTGAATCCGAAGGCTGGAAACGCCCGATCAGTCTCCTTCGCGACCCGCGGACACCCCCCCCCCCC